TCTTGGGTTGCCACCTGTCCCGGATTCACCTGGACAGTCTGGGTTTTTGAGTCCTGTATGTGCTGTGTCTGGGTCTCAGCTGGCCTGGAACCCGGAAAACAGCACATACAGGACTCAAAACCCGGACTGTACAGGTGAATCCGGGACAGGTGGCAACCCTAGTGGACAGCTGAACAGCCAGGCCGCTAGCATCTTCAGCGGGTGCACCATGATGGCCCCCATTCCTGTATCCTTCTCATGACAAGTACAAACTTCCTGCAAAGATAAAAGTTATTAAAAGAAAACCAGGTTATAATAATAATATTTATATACACACACTATCCAATAATTAAGGGATTTTCATGCATCTGAAGGAATAAAACCCCTTTCCTGTCAAGATTGTATTATTCCTTTATTTGCCCTGGTAACCGTTGTCACAGGGACAGGAAGTGGTGAGAAATCCAGATTTTTACAGTTGTCACCAGAACAGGGAGGCAAGGGGGAACCCCCTTCTGGTAAAAAAAAAAAAACAAGGATTTACCTTCACATTGTACAGATTTCGTCTAACTTTCTGTCCTGTGTTCATGACAGGACGTGAAGGGTAACCCAGGCAACGGGACACAGCAAACAAATTAACCTTAGATGTGTTTTAACACTTCCCTACTCAATTCAAAATTACGTTTTTGGGATACATACACTTTCATGAGTGATACAAACTAGTGTTTACAACAGAGCAGTCTGTATACCAATACCTGAGTCGGCCATTTTGTCTGCTGGCGACAGAGGCCTGTTATATTAGTACCTGTAATGTTTTGAGGAGATTTCAGTCATTTTCAGAAGACAAAACCTATCTATTTATATTTTTAGCATGTTTGTAGCATTTATTGTGGTGCAAATCAATGTTTATGACACAAAAGCCTGCTGTTCTCAAAGAACCAAAATCTAAGTCGGCCATTTTGTCTACTGGCGACAGAGGCCTGTTATATTGGAACCTGATGTATTGAGGAGTTTTTCAGTAAACAAAACCTATCTCTATATATTTTTAGCATGTTTGCAGCATTTTTTGTAGTGCAAATCAATGATTATGAAACAAAAGACTGCTGTTCTCAAAGAACCAAAACCTAAGTCGGCCATTTTGTCTACTGGCGACAAGGGAATGTTATATTGATTCGGGCTGGAGCCGCTGTGAAGAGTGCAGGGGGACATATTGGACTTTAATATTGGAACCTGTGACACAGCAAAGGACTTCCCATCAATCATTTTCAGAATGTATTTTACATTTTTGATAGTGCGAATCAATGTTTACGGCACAGGAGCCTATCTGTCCCGTAGAACCGATTTCTGAGGCAGCCATTTTGTCCACTGAAGACAAGGGCCGGTTGTATCAGGACAAGAGAGAGATTTGTGAGGAACTTTGATTGGAAACATTCTCTGGAAAAAGTTGAAAAAAAATCATTTTTGCACATTTTTAATCATCAATGTTTACGACAGAGCAGCTTATTCACATCGGCCTTATACTGAAGCAGCCATTTTATCTGCACAAGATGACAAAAAAAAACTAAAAACACCTATTATCCCCGAATGGTTAATGCCACAGAGTCACGTCCAGTCAGATATACTGATATAAATGGCAGCTATGGGCGTCTGCAAATGTATTGGATGTATATCTTCTATGTAAACAAGGCTGGTCGGGCTGTGTAGGCCGAAGCTGTTGTGAACCACAAATCCCATGAGGCATTGCAGGATCCTGCCAGCCACAGGCATGACTCCCAGAGGCAGATGCATGATGGGATTTGCAGTGTCACCACAGCTGGAGTGCTGAGGTTGCCTAAATAGGGGAGAATTGATCAAATCTGGAGCAGTTGCCCGTGGCAACCAAGCGGCTTCTCCCTTCAGTTCGCTTAGTGAAAATGAAAGAGAGAAGCGGATTGGTTACCAGTTTTGATGAATTCCCCTCAGTGTGTCTCTTCATCACCTCAGTAAGTCAGCTGAGGAGACCGGACAGCACAAGAGGCCTTTTTCTGTTTTCCGAGCGGCTCTTCTCTATTATATACCGGTGTAAAATATATATATACAGCGTGCGTACGTACGTATATATTTATATATACGCCGCGACAGCGCTGAGCTAAACAAACCATTATGGGCAGATGGCACCCTACGCTGGACATACAGAGCGCCTTGTCATCACGACCTCCCTGACAAATAAATCGCTTTATCCGGCGGGGATATTTTGGGAGGCGGCGAAGTCGGGTCGCTCGCTCGCCTTGGCCCCCCGTGCTCCGTTCTGCTTCGGTTCCTCCCTCGGTATATTAAACATGAATTGGAAGCTTCATTCTGCCGCCGAGTCCGGGCCAAAAAAACCGCCGACGCGGGCTGCGTGCTGCCTCAGCAATAAAAAACGGTCGTCTTTGGGACAACGTAGATAATTGCGATGAATTCCTTCTCCTGTCTGCTGACTGGAGGGGAATCGGCACAATGCCGCGCAGCTGCTCCGCTCTACGCTATTCTGTAAATCTGACTATTTTTACACGCTGGGCGACGGCTTCTTAAAATAAACAGTGGAGGCGCCGCTAATGCCGTTAGCCCGGCGGCATCCGTGCCTATAGCATACGTGAACCAAATCGCTACGTTTTAAAGCGTTAAAGCCGTTTACAATCATTATTATGTTGAAATTCAGAAGATTTAATTATCATAATCCCCGGTGATCCCGCCATGGAGGTCCTTGTTCAGGCACTTCCTGTTATAGGGTGACAATGTTCTGTCTCTGTTCAGCCACTTCCTGTCATACAGTGACAATGCTCTGGTCCCTGTCCAGGCACTTCCTGTCATACAGTGACAATGCTCTGGTCCCTGTCCAAGCACTTCCTGTTATAGGGTGGCAATGCTCTGTCCTTGTTCAGGCACTTCCTGTTATAGGGTGACAATGCTCTGTCCCTGTTCAGGCACTTCCTGTTATAGGGTGACATTACTCATTCCTTTTTCAGGCACTTCCTGTTATAGGGTGACAACGCTCTGTCCTTGTTCAGACACTTCCTGTTACAGGGTGACAATGTTATGCGCTTGCTCAGGCGCTTCCTGTTATAGAGTGGCCGTGGGCCTGTGCGGGAGGGCGGGGCCCTGGGACTCGTAGGAAGAGCCGGGCCCGTGCCAACATTAAATGGCACCGGCGGAATCTCTTAAAAGTCTGCTAATGGTTTCCTGTTGCTCCTGACCTGCGTTTTAAGTGGGGCGCGAACGGCGGTGAAATGCATTTTAGTTTTTTACGAGCCGGCCC